GTACCCTTAGGGTAATGGAAGCAAGGCTTTGGGCAGGGATGGTGCTTGGAGGGTTCATGTTGACAGTGTTCTTTTCCCCTCTCCAGGACCAACAATTCTTGCTTTAGAAATGAGGGGGAAAATAGTAATATCGGTTCAAGTCAAAACCAAAACCCTCTTCCTTTCTATGATTACTCATAGAAATCGTTGGGAAGTTGGTTTTCTGTTGCTTCAACAAGTGGTCTGGAGGACACACCTGCAATGTGGAGGGCCATTGACAGCACTTGAAAAAGCTCCCTGTTTCCTCCCTTCCCCCTTTCCTGCAGAGACTCTGTTCAGAGGAGGATTTTTGCGACAAACTATGGGTTCACAAACACGGGGAATGGCTCCTCAACCAGGCCCTAGTCTCCTTGCTGCTGCGGTCACTGTGCTGGAACTCTCTGCCCAAGGGGGGCGGGGAGTGTCTGGGTCTCCGCTGTTTCCACAAAGGCAGTTCATTACAGATTTTGACCCTTCCTGCATCCTCCGTCCCTTACAACACGTGCATTCATCTCCCCGTATTACTGTTGAAAGAATACAAACTGCTGAAAGAATACAAACTTTGTTTCTCTGTCGTCCGAGCATCATTCAGAAGCACTCCGCCCATCTGTGAATCATTCCCTGACTCTGATCAGAGCAGCGTTACAGGTCCTCTGCTGGCAGGAGGCAGCAGTCCAACAAAGTCTGAAGACCCAGGACTTCTGTGCCAGGCAGACTAGGAAGCCACCAAACATTGCGAGCTGAATGGATGTCTTACTAAGCTTTTAGATGTGATCTGGCCAGTACTGGCAGAGGAAGCCCAAGGGGAGAAGTCAGCAAGCACTGTAACGTAAATCACTGCAGACCCTTGGGCGTTACAGCCCTAGGAAGCTAATGATCTCTCCAGGAAAGAACTGACCGTGGTTTTCCAGCAACAGAACACGATGTAGAACGGGGAGGACAGACCCCCGGATGTGAGTACAATCTCTCAACACAGGGTTTGGACCAGTAGGAGCAAAGCGAGTTATCGTAACTGATGGTGCTTCCTAACCACTGGTTCCTGGGTGCCTGTGGACCATCTCTGGGTGGGCTGTGCGTAATGCCTGGCTGGGACTTTTGTTTGCAGGTTTCTTCAAGAATATTTTGCCTGTTAGGAGACTGAATGCAGTGGCTTTGGGATACCGGTACCGGGGGACTTTTTTGTAAATCTTCAAGAAAACCTCATAGACCTTTCACTATAAAAAGAAAACCGATCGCATCACAGACCAAGCAGCTGTTTGGCCCTCTGGCATTTGTGATGAGAGACAAAAACACTGGCGAACTGGAGAGCAATGAAAATGGGGCAGTGGACTGGGAGGAAGGAGGGGAATCTTTCTTAGGAAGCTAAATCCCTTTCTGGATTCAGGATGCTCATTGCGTATTTATGATCATGCGTTTATTTCATTTCTGCTTAAAGAACTCGCAGCTTGTTTGCATTTTAAGGTTTTTCTCCTGTGAAAAATGCTGTGAAAGTGACAAAGAGGGATGTGATTGATAGACTTGGGGCAGAAATTCCTCACCTCCTGCAATGGGAAGTGTCTTGAATGATAGGTGATCTATTTGGAAGCGGAAGCTCAGATTTAATGAGGGAACGGAGCTGCTTGCAGCCTGGGTGCCCAACAGGTTGGCAGTGAAGTTTAACTCCTTGATTGCAGACTGGTCCTCTCCCCTCCCCACTCACTGCTGGGGGTCCAACAGCCTCTTTATTCTTCTCCCCAGCCCACTTCCTTCCACCTGGTTTGATTTGTCAGTTCAGAGGTATTAGATGAGAAGCCAAGTATCCCCTCACTGCAAAAGGATGGGGATCATTGTTCTAGGTGGGAGGTAAGGATACAAAGATTTAGGGCAGTGATCGTGAGAGAGGTGGAAAGGAACGTGAGCTGGGCCCTGCACCCCAACCCAAGGTGGAAGTCAGAAAGGAGGCAGAGGGACTTCCCTGGCGGTCCCGTGCTTAAGACTCCGTGCTTCCATTGCAGGCGGCATGGGTTTGATCTCAGTTTGGGTTTGATCCTGGGTTAGGGAACTAAGATCCCATATGCTGCACGGCAGGGCCAAAAAAAAAAAGAAAGAAAGGAGGCAGAAAAGAAGACTCAGCCACTTTGATCCCTCCCTCTGCCCCCCTCTGCCGTGTGTAAATGAAAATGAAGGCGAATACTGGAGGTCCTACTAGTGAGGCTACTGGGTTTAAATTGAGCATGAACTTGAGATACCCAAGCACACAGTGATGGTGCTAGCAGCAGACTAGGAACTGGAAACCTGGGATTCTGTTCCTGATTTTGCAGGCAGTTTTCTGGGCATCTCTGGCGGTGGTGAGGTATCCAGAATCTCCTGCAGGCCGCTCTCTGCCTCCGGCGGGCTGTGCGCTGTGGTGGAGGGTGTGGGATGGCTTGGGGGTGGGGAGCATTTTATTCTTAAGTAGCTGCCATTGAAATTTTAAAAAAAGAAAAACCAAAACGCTGACATTTCTGCTTGGCCAACATTTTCTCACAAATGTAGTGTTTCTGTCTCTTTAAAAAAAGAAAAAAAGGAATAGTAATGTGCGCTGGGCTTGTAAAGGGCTGTTTACCAAGGGTAATCATGGGCTGTCGCAGTAGCTGGCAACCATGGCAATCAGTGCACCCTGGCTTTTGTCTCAGTGTCCCCAAGGCTGAATTTATGGCATGGGACGGAAGGGAGGGAGGGGAGCGACTGTCATTGTAGACAGGCCGGTTAACCCGTGATTCCATTGCTGGGGAGGCCGGACAGCTTGGCTGATGGGCTGCCCTGGGGTTGCAGTAAGAAGATCTCTATCCCCAGGAGTTAAGCTGTGGAGTGAAATGGTGAAATTTTAGCCATGATGATAATATTTGTATGAACCGGGCCATTGTACTTGAGACACTCAGATGCCCGTTGCAGGAAAGGTTTGGGAAATAAATAACAAATGAGTGAGTGCAGAAGAATGTGGCTGAGGGAGGGAGAGCATTTAGGAAGCCAGGGCTAATTTTCTGCGTTTTCCTGCCATTTGGGCCTGGAGTGCTTTCGCAGGATTGGGGCAGACAGATCAGAAGCTCAGGGTAATTGGTTTGAACGTGCCGCAGGTTACCTGAATAAAGACAGACGGTGTATCCTGTGTTTACGAAAGCAAACCACTCCCCAACAGTAGAACATTCTGGGAAACATAAAGCCCAAACTACAGTCTTTCAGTGCGACCCTGGGAATTTCCAAAGGCTTTTCCAGCTCCATTTCTCTCTGTTTTGAGTCTCAACTTTATTCTTTCATTGGCGCATTCATTCAGCAAAGATTTGGGGTGCATCCCAGCGATCTCTGACCGTGGCTGCGGGAGGGGTCCCCTGCTTGTACCTTCTCCAGGTTTGTTGCGCTTCTGATGAGTCTGGTGATCAGAGCAGGGTGGGTTTGTGAGGGTTCCTCGTGTCTCTTTCCTTGTTATCTCTTTTTTTTTTTTTTTTGGCCGTGGTGCGTGGCTTGTGGGATCTTAGTTCCCCGACCAGGGATTGAACCTGTGCCCTTGACAGTGCAAGCGCGGAGTCCTAACCACTGGACCGCCAGGGAAGTCCCTTTCCTTGCTCTTTTTTATCCACAATTTGGGCAACAGATGGACGACAGTGAGAAAATTTGATCATTTGCAAGCTGAGCAGGGAGAAGAATGACCTTTCAGAAGTTATACTACTCACATTTGGCCAATACTTTCACGTAATGAAATACCATCTTTAGTCCCTATCACAGTCCTGTTGTTCCGTCTGTTTTATACATGAATGTTTAACCCCAGCTGCCCGGAGCTGCTGGTGACACGAGCCACCTGGATGTCACGGTGATGCAGGGTCAGAGCAGGTACCGACCAGCCCTTTCTCAGTCACATCACAGCCAGTGAAAGGAGCATGGGGTTTGCCTGGAAACCGCTGTAAAGGACGTCTGTATCTTCTGGTCCTTCATAACTAAAATGGGTGGTAGGTCCTGGGATTCCTTGTGGTACAGCATTTTCTCTCCATCTTCAATATTGGTATTTTTAGCAAGTACATTTTAAAACAAAAAGAGGCCCACATTGCCTTGCCCTCCTAATAGGAATAGGTCAGATTCTTAAGCTTTCCTTCTTTGGCCCCCAAAACCCTTCACCTTTGGCATAATCCCAGTGGCTTTGGTTTGCTCTAATGGTGGTCCAGCGCTACTGGGAAGAGTCAGTCTTTAAAATTCTATCCATTTGGCCATTTGGTGGAAAGAGGGCTTGAGTTTACTGCTAGTTACTGCCCCCAGACCACGGCTCCGAGACGGGGCTTAGCATCCTGTCGCCGGTTTGAATTGCCCACTTACTTCCCTCTTGTTAAGCCCCTCCCTAGAGTAACTGTTTGTAGCATCAGTTTTGTTCCCAAGATGGGTTGTTCCAGCAGTTATTGGCTAGGAGATGGTCCGGGCCTGCTCCCAGCTCTCCACCTGTTGCAGATTTCTGGAACCTGCACCATTTACAATGGGAAAAGGATGAAGGAAGAGAAAGGCCGGAAATGCTGGGAGAAAGCCCCATGGGTGTGGCCCCCTCCTCAGGGTCTCTGTGGGGTGTGGTCCACAGGCGCCTAACCGGCCAGGGGAATAGGCATGTTAGCCGTGGCGGGCCCACAAAATGCGGTCCAGAGGGCCCTGTGTAGTTTCCTGCCGAGGGTGGACCTGGAAACCAGGCTACATTCAGGGGATGTGTCAGGCCGCTGCTACCTGGGTGGGAGATGCAGAGCAGACCTCACCGTGGTCTGGAGTCTGCGGGGGTGGGGATGGGAGCGGGGTGTTTCCGTATACTCTCCGCCTTCCACGTGCAAGTTCAGGGTTTGCTCTGCAGAGGGTGCTTCCCGCCTGTCCTGTCTCCCCCAGCTCCCCTCCCCTGCACTGAGCAATCAGCAGATGCCCTAAAACCAGGGAGGAGAGGTGTGGCCTGTCCTGGGTGCTGAGTGGTGCTGATGGCAGCTTTGTTCTGTAACCCCTAGGTCCCAAAGATGGCATAGTGATGAAGGCCCCTTCCAATGATCGGAACGTCTTTACCCGAGGGTGCCTGCCTGGGCCCGTGGCATCGCGTTGAGCCAAAGGAACTTGTCTACCACTTCACGGAAAACGTCTTTCTCTCCTAATTCATGAGCCAGCAGGATGCGGTCGCCGCGCTTTCAGAACGCCTGCTCATAGCTGCATACAAAGGCCAGGCGGAGAATGTGGTTCAGCTCATCAACAAGGGTGCCAAGGTAGCGGTTACCAAGGTAACAAGAGAATAAACACTTTAGCCATTCCCTGGGGAAAAGCCTGCCTCTTAAGCATTGTCCATAAAACTGTTGTGTTTCGTTCAGTTTTCAAAGAACTGGTTGGTTTTGTTTTTTGTTTCCAGTGCTGGAGGTTTGGGGAGAAAGAAGAAGGATTAAAAATGCTTTCGTTGCTATCTTTCAAATGGAGTCACTCGTAATTAGCATTTGACCCTCTTTAAAATCGCAGTGTGGATTTTTCTCACCTACTTCTTTAGCCAGATGGACAAGAGATCTCTCTGGAGAAATTGGGGCACAAGAACTTACTGGGTAGAGTGTGTGAGAATCACGTTAGGCTCCCTTGGGAGGCCTGTGGATGACGGGGCAGCCCAGACGCCATGCAGAACCTCACTGCTCCCATCTGGACAGTGATGGGCTTGGACCAGATGCCTCCCAATGACCTCTTTAGGCTGATTTCACGTGGGTCAGTGAGAATGTGTGGCAGGCTTTGGAGGGCATTGCTGACCCCTCACCAACAGATGACACCATGGTAGACGAGAGAATGCACAGGCCCAAGGGCAGTTTTATAGCAAAACTGAGGTAAGGCAGGCTCTGCCCAGTTAGGTGACAAGTGCAAATACATAGACGAAGTAATGCTGACGGCAAACACTTAGTATTGCTCTAAGCACTTTATAGGCCTCTAGAAGAGGTTCTTTTTTCATCCTCACTTTAGAGATGAGGAAACTGAGGCACAGAAAGATTGAAGTAATTTACTCAAGGGGCCCCCAGCTGCTGAGTGGCAAAACTGCAACTTGGACCCAGTTATGACTCCAGAGCCCCCCACTCCAGGCCACCCCAGAGAGAGCCATGGAGAGAGGCGAAGTTTCATTTTCAAATAGTAACGTCTGTTGACCTCTGACCTCCTATGGCAAAGATTGGCCAGCTCACATTTTTGGTTAGTCACGTGCAGTCTGTGTATTTCCTGCTTCTGATGTGTGCTTTTTCCAGCACCACCAAGCAGTTAACTCAATTCTGGCAGTATCTGTCTGGAGAGAGCGTCAGCTCTCACAGGCTGAGGGCTCAGTCCCATAAGACTGCCTCAGACATCAGTCACAAGTCCAGGTTGTCACCTGTGCTTCTGACTGACTGGCTATAAATCAGAGGTTCCCACAACTCACTCCTTGGGTTGAATTAACTGGCTAAAGCAGCTCACAGAACTCAGGAAAACATTTTACTTACCAGATTACCAGTTTATTATTAAAGGATATAACTTAGGAACAGGCAGATGGAAGAGATGCAGAGGGCAGGGTATGGGGAAAGGAGGCCTCTGAGCGCACCACCCTCCCAGCACCTCTGTGTGTTCACCAACCCAGAAGTTCCCTGAACTCTGTCCTCTGGGTTTTTATGGAGGCTTCATTACATAGACATTATTTACTAAATCATTGGCCATTGGTGATTGATTCAACCTCCAGCCTCTCTCCCCTCCCTGGAGGTCAGGGAAGTGTGACTGAAAGTTCCAACCTGTAATCACTGTTGGTTCCCTTGGCAACCAGCCCTCCATCCTTAGGGCTTTCCATAAGCTATCTTATTAATATAACCTCAGGTATGGCTGAAAGGAGTTTATTAGGAATAACACACTCCTTTCACCTTTATGGCTCTGGAGCTATTTCAGGAACTGATAGCAGAAGACCAACTATTACAACAAAAGATGCTCCCGTTGCTCTTATCACTCAGGAAATTCCAAGGAGCTGTGAGGAGCTGTGAGCCAGGAACGGAGATTAAGAGCAAATCTGTATTTCTTTTTTCTTTTAATTAATTTATTTTTTATTTATTTTATTTTTGGCCGCGTTGGGTCTTCATTGCAGCCCGCGGGCTTTCTCTAGTTGCGGCGAGCAGGGGCTACTCTTCATTGTGGTGCGCGGGCTTCTCATTGCGGTGGCTTCTCCTGTTGCAGAGCACGGGCTCTAGGCGCACGGGCTTCAGGAGTTGTGGCACGTGGGCCCTAGAGCACAGGCTCGGTAGTTGTGGCGCACAGGCTTAGTTGCTCCACGGCATGCGGGATCTTCCTGGACCAGGGCTCGAACCTGTGTCTCCTGTATTGGCAGGTGGATTCTTAACCACTGCGCTACCAGGGGAGCCCTGTATTTCTTATTATAAGTCACAGTATCACAATGCTGGTCTCTAGAGAGACTGAAAGTCTTTGGGTACTCAAAGTTCACTCATTAGCCTAACAGCACTCTGACCTAGGTGGTGACTAGGTTGTATGGAATCCAGGGTGAAGGGAACCTTGACTCAGGCCTCAGCATGATCTATCCACAGCTCTTCAGGACCCAGGCAGTCACACATGGGAGAAAGTACAGGAACTCTGTAGTTAGGGCACATGTGCACACATTTTAACTTTGCTGTGTTTGAATTGTGCAAGTTGCTTAACTTCTTTGAGCCCCAGTTGCCTTGTCTGTAAAATGGGGATAATAATACCAACCTTTCAGAATTGTTATAATAATAACTTATTAAAGCACTTAGCTCATAGTCTGCAAGTTCTCTTTTTTAAACAGCATCATTTGCTTTTTAAAAAACAGCTTTATTGAGGTATAACTTACATGCCAAAAAGCTTACCCATTTTAAGTGTGAAATTTGATAATTTTTTAAAAAGTATTTATTTATTTGGCTCCGCCAGGTCTTAGCTGCGGCGTGCGGGATCTAGTTCCTCGACCAGGGATCGAACCCAGGCCCCCTTCATTGGGAGCGTGGAGTCTTAACCACTGAAACACCAGGGAAGTCCCTGAAATTTGATAATTTTTAATGTATTTACAGAGTTGTGTAACCAACACCATGTTCTAGTTTTAGTACATTTCTAATTTTAGAATCCCAGTAAGAAACTCCATACTTCTTAGCTCTCATTCCCATTCCCATCCCCAGCTCCTGGCAACCATTGATCTACTTTCTGTTTCTACAAATTTCCCTTTTATGGACATTTTATATAAATAGAATCATACATTATGTGGTCTTTTGTGTCTGGGTATTTTCATTTAGCCTACTGTTTTCAAGGTTCATCTGTGTTGTAGCATGCATTTTTGTTTATTGCAGAATATTATCCCACTATATACATATATCACATTTTGTTTATCCAGTCATCAGTTGATGGACATTTTGGGTTGTTTCTGGTTTAGAACTATTACGAATAATGCTGCTGTGAACATATTTGTTCTCATTTCTCTTGGGTAGACACCTTGGAGTGGAATTGCTGGGTCACATGGTAAATCTATGTTTAACGTTTTAAGGAACTGCCAAGCTATATTCCAGAGTATCTACCATTTTACGTTCCCAATAGCAGTGTATCAAGCTTCTAGTCTCTATGTCCTCACCAATGCTTGTTATTATTTTTTTTTACATCACTTGCTTTTTAATAATTAATCGAAGTAAAGCATGCACATAGAAGCTTTAAAAGAATAAGTTCAAATACCGTTAAGAAGGCTTTTAACAAAAACTCCAATCTGCTCCTCTGCAGAAAAAACTTTTAAATTTTTCAGATTTTTTTTTCCCCTGGCATTTATTTTAATATTTCTAATGAATATGCAAATACTACTAATTTGATTAATCAGTTCAATTTTTAATTTAAAAACAATTTAGGTATATTTTAATTTTTATGTTGCACATACCCATAAGTTAAAGCATCAGATATTTTTACTATGTTTGCCTTCCAGTTTTGATTCTCCGTAGGCAATTACTTTCAACTCTTTTGGTAGATTCTTTTTTTTTTTTTTTGCGGTAGGCGGGCCTCTCACTGTTGTGGCCTCTCCCGTTGCGGAGCACAGACTCTGGACGCGCAGGCTCACGGGCCCAGCCGCTCCATGGCATGTGGGATCTTCCCAGACCGGGGCACGAACCCACATCCCCTAGCATTGGCAGGCGGACTCTCAACCACTGCGCCACCAGGGAAGCCCGGTAGATTCTTTTAGTGCTTACATCCATAAAGGTATCGTGATACTGCTAAATCTTGATTTTTTCCATTTTTGGCATTATCTGTTTAACGATATGAAAAGCGATGATTTAAGATTTAGCTTTCTTTCCCTCTCCTGCCCTCTCACACATACTTTCATAACAATGACCTCAGCATTTCATTTTTACATATTTTAACCAATTTATTCCAGTTATAGCTGAGCCCTGTGGTATGTACGATCATAACATTAACTTTTTTGCAATAATTTGTTTACCCTGATGTTTATAATCGTCTTATATTTGTTTCTTTAGTTTTGTCTCTTACTGTCACTCATCGTCCCCATCTGTGTAATCTCTGGATGTGCAGAATGTTCGGTAGTCTCCATTGATTCTCCTTGAAGAGCTGTCCCCTGGAGCCCCTTCCCCTGCTTCAGTCTGCACTGGAGGCTCTCAGCCTCTGGCGGCTGTCTGAGGATCTGCCTTTCCTCTTAACCTAGGGATTCCCCTTACCGCTTTTATATATAGTTGACTTCGTATTTTCTGGGCCCCAGTGTCTTTCTCCTTCTTTGTTTTGTTGTGGTACGCCCTCTAGTGCGGCGCTGTCTGAGAGAACTTTCTGTGATGGTGAAATGTTCAATATCTGTGCCGTCTAAACAGGGTAGCAACACATGGCTGTTGAGGACAGTTGAACAATAAGAGTTCGAACCGCGCGGGTCCACTTACACATGGACTTTTTTCAGTAGTGAATACTATAGTACCATGTGGTCGGTGGTTGCTTGCATCTGCGGATTTGCAACCGCAGATACTGAGGAAACATGGGTGTGGAGGACCTGGGAATCTGAGTATCAGTTATACTCGGATTTTTGACAGCGCGGAGGGTTGGCACCATTAACCCTCATGTGGTTCAAGGGCTGGCTGTACTTGAAATGTGGCTAGGATGACTGAGGAACTGAATTTTAAATTTAATTAATTAAGTTTAAATGCCATGTGTGGCTGGACTACCATATTGTTTGGGTTTTTTTTTAAGGCTCCACAAGTTGAAGTTACATTTAATTTGTTTAGTTATATTAAAACACATATAT